GTAACAATCACCTTCTGTCCTATAAATACGTGGAATGACACTGTATGCTCACCGTGGGAGAATTGAGCAAATAGACACAGAAATTGCTTTGTGTCTATGTGACTTGAATTTGAAATCCTGCATGAGAAAGGCAACACTTGATACAGAGCAGTTCTCAGAATTATTAAATGCATTATTATCGTTAACACTGGGGTTAATTCAACTATTCAGACCTGGCCCTTGAGCCTACTGGGCTGTGCATATGTATTCTGAAAAACTTCCCTACAGAGTGTAAATGGGGCCAGTCCTTTGTACCGCCCCCACATTCGATGCCTGTTTACCTTGCCTAGATGGTTTCTATATTTCTTCACATTTGTAGCATATACGATGTTTAAGGCAATGACTGTCAGTCCTGACAAAATGCTGTGTGCGCTTGCACAAGTAGCAATGGGCATGGGTTTAATGCAGGCAGAGTTATGGACTATTTCAGGGACACTGGATTCACCTGTGAGTGGGCAGACATGGGGGCTGTTGGGTACACATGGGAGATCCCTAGTCAAAGCAAAGTTAGGAGTTAATAACACATATAATTCTAGAACATTTATCAGCGCTTAGAAGTTCAACTTGCTGTAAAAATGAGAGGAAGTCCGTTCTAGGCTGTATGACAAACAGGTGTGTTGTGGTTAGACAGGGTTGGTAAAGGAGACTGTTCCATGAGTTTAGAGTTTGTAGATACTGTAAAGAGAATTCTAAATTGGTCTCTCAGGAAAACCAAGAAGCAAAGAGAAGGAAAGAACCATTGTTCTTTTTGTGTTCTAACACTGTCACTGTCTATTAAGATTAGACTGTGCTGGCCTCTAGGGATCTTCCTAACAGGGCTGTCTTTGTCCCATGCATGCAGCAGACACATGAGATATGCAATGACAAGGAAGCACTATGCTGGGTGACTCAGAGGAACCTGTGAAAAAGTCATGACATGACCTGAGCCTTTCTCCCATATGCTAACACGTGCACATTTGATTTGAAGGCTATGTGGAGCCTGAAGCATGTGCGAACATTATCCAGGGGAGAGGGTTGACAGATTGGAGAACAAAGAGAGGTAGCAGAGGGAGGCGAGGTTGTACGAGCCTCGCAGATTTTGGAAAGATCTGTTGAGGTTCGTTGTCCTTATTCAGAGTTTAATGTTAAATACACTTTTATATTATGGACCTTTTTGGCAGTCTGACAAAACCTATGAACATCTTCTGAGAATAATGTCTTTAGTTAGTGAAATAAAATTTGTAAAATGAAAAAGGAAATGAGTTACATTGAAATATATCTAGTGTGAACTTGGTGATGCATCAAACCAGACTGGAACCAGCTTTGTGACACAGTGCAAGTGCTTCTTCATGAGTGACCTTACATAGGATCTAGCAGCAGGCCTGCTTAATGCAATTTCTAAACTGTGCTTAGCACATACAATATTTTGAGGTAACTATGACTGTAATATGCCATTAAAGTGGCATGAGTTATGATTTGCTGCCCTTAATTCAAAATTGATGGAAATCTAAAGTCAGCTAGAAGTTAGTGGAAATAAAACTATCAGTTTTGCTGTTCAAATTCACGGCCCCCTGAATTCTATTCCTCTACTGCAGAAAAAAATGTGGAGTGTTATGAGCCATCCTAAGACTTCAAGCAGGAGTGAAAGGATTCCATTTTTGTTTTTATTTTTGTATGCTGTTTGCATGTGTGAGTGCAGTCACAGGATCACAGAACCCATGTGGAGGTCAGAGATCAGCCTTCAGGACTGAGTTTTCTCTTGCCACCTGGTGTTTGAGGGGGATCTCTTGTTTCTGCCAGGCTACACACTCCAGGCTGCCTGATCTTTGAGTTTCTACACAATTCTCCTGGCTCTGACCTCTGTCTCACCAGAGCCTACAGATGCAAGCTGCTGCATCTCGTTACTTATGTGTGCTCTTGGGATCAAACTCAGATTGTTGGGCTTTTGTGGTGAGTGGCTTATTTGTACCTTTATTGCAGCATCCTCTTCGTGATTTCATGACCCTATGGATTTGTTAGCATTCATACTGACACAATAAAAAGAAATCTTGTTGTGTGTTAAATTAACCGACCAGGCAGATTTAAAAGAATGCAATCAGTTGAATCACTAAATGTTCAGGTTCAACTTTTAAAAGATACCTGTTTTTTTGTGAAAAATTGGAGCAAGTGTGAACAGTACCCAATTTGCTAAGTCTGGACTGTGTCATTATCTTTGCTTGACCCTAAATTCTATCACCTCTACTTCAGGGAGTGCACAGGCCTCCTGAAACAGGTGAGGTGAAGAAAAACCCTTTGGTTACACAGGAATGTGGAGGCCAGGTGCTCCAACCTTTCCCTTGAGATATGGTCTCTCGCTGGCCTGTGGTTAACCTACTAGGTGAGGCTGTCTGGCCAGTGAACTCAGGGATGCTACCTCCCCAGCTCTGGAGTTACAGATGGAGTAGTGCATGCTTGTGAGTATGCGTGTTTAATGTGAGTTTTCAGCCGTAAACTCGGGTCCTGGTGTTAGCAAGACAAAGTTTACTGACTGAAGTTATCTCCCTAGTTGAAGTGATACTAAAAATGATTTGGAAAATGTGTATCTGTGATTGATCTGGGACCAGTGAGAGAAGGGAAATATTTTGAAGTCAAATCTGTATCTTATCTCATTAAAAAGCATCTTATTTGCTATCAGCTTGTCGTGGACTGAGGGTTTTTGTCACCCAAGTTCATGTACTGAAATCGGGGTTTAAATCAGAAACATCCCCCACGACTTATACTTTGAATGCTTGGTCCTGGGCACTGTTTTGAAGGTTATGGATCTTTTAGGAGGCGGGGCCTAGCTGGAGGAAGTAGATTCCGGCCTTTGAAGGCTAAATCGGACTCTTAGTGGCCTTTGAAGGTTAAATCTACTCTTAGTTCTGGCTTGTCTTTTCTTCTGTCTGTCTGCTACAGTAAGAACAGCCTGGCCCTTTTGTCCCTTTGGAGCTGCCCATCCCATGTGCCCCTTCATGATAGACTGAAACACGTCCTCCGTGCTTCTCTCAAGCATTTGGTCAGAGGCTCTAACCTGGGCTCTTACAAAGATGAGCTCTCAGGAATGGGACTGTCACCCTCACATGAGCCCCCAGTACACTGCTATTTGATGACACAAGAAGATGAGACACTGCCTTTCTGCTCTTGCTGCACCTGATCTTGTACTTGCAGCTTTTGGAACAGTGAGAAATAAGCTCCCATTGCTGGAGCTGTACAGTCCCGGTACTTTTATAGCAGTCTACACTAAGCCACCTGTGGTGGTCGTCTTTGGTGGAATTATCCTCTAAATTCTATTCCATTGCATTTCCTACTCATATAGCTGTTTAATGTGTACTAAACAAGTATCTCCAGTACACCTCTGGCCAAACCCTGTCACTCCAAAAAGATGACCTCTGGAGCACAAGCCTCACTTGAGGAAGGGTTTCGAAACCCTGCCTAGACTTCAGAACTTGGTTTGAGGGGCTAGTGTTTAAGGGCATGTACTGCACTCACAGAGGACCCATACCCGTTGGCTTACAACTGCCTGTAACCGCAGCTTCAGGGAGAGCCAATACCCCTGGAGCCTGAGGGTACTTACACATATGTACTCATGCCTGCCCTACACGTGATTAAAAATAATATAAACTAAACTTAAAAAGAGAACTTACTTTGATTTTCTGGATGTAAATATAAATAACCACTTATTGAATTCATATTGAATTCATTGTCTCTATTAAGAAAGCAAACCACCAGCTTCCATGGACCCTCTAGTCTAGCACAAACAGCACATGATAGCTATGAACACATAGGGAACCATGGCATTCTGTCACCAAGCTCTATTTTGAAAACTTTCTGCAGTCTCTGCTAGGTAGGTAAGAGTTGGTGATACTTCTGATAAATTCCAGGGATTGAGAAGCTTCTAAACCCCTGTTTGACATCTTAGTCCAATGCGGCATTTCCTGGTGGGAAATTACAAAACAGATTACTGTACTGCCCAAATTTATAGTATTTCCTTCAATTTGATGGTCAGTTTCAGGCAACTTCAGGAATCTGATTTCCAGAAGGCAGTAGGAACTGAGAATGTTCTGAAGTTGACAAGGTCCTCGTTAATCACATACCCAAGACTACTATTGGGAGCAGAGGGTAAAGGACTAGGGTTGGTAAGCTGGAGGACTGCTCCATAGAAATAGCCTATGGCTTAGTTGGGAATGTGGGTGAGTAGCAAATACAAAGATAATAATTGGCTATAAGTGTGTGTGTGTGTGTGTGTGTGTGTGTGTGTGTGTGTGTGTGTAGATGAATACATGAGAGTAAGCGATGACATCATAGACCATAGGCTGAACTATAGTGCCCAGAGCTTATTTATATTTACTCAGTAAAGTGTCTCCTTTCTCTCCACCAGAGAGACAGAAATGTCTTGACCTTCCTGTAGTCTCAGGTTAATATGACCAGAGACTAGTGGAATCAGAAGGGACTGATGAACCCACCCAGTCCAACATGTTCTAGAGGTGTAAGCTGTGCAACCTACAGGGGACGTCAGGAATCCAAGGTCCAGGCTGCTGTTTGCTTCCCAGCTTTCATTTCCTAAGACTTTTACCCATCTGTCCACTTACAGTGTTTTTAATGTGAGTACATTTGCCCAACCTACAGGGATGACTCTGGGTCCTTCTTCCTTCTGAGAGACCCAACCTTGGTAGTGGCACCAGTAGCTGGGAACATCACAGATGTGATGAGGTTGGCCTGGCAATCTGGAGGCTTCATGATTCACCCCTGTGACCTGTGAATCCCTGCTCTTCATGTCTCATCATTCCTTCATCTTGCATCTACTTTGATGATTCTTATCTGGGTTTTCCAAGAACCCTTCCTGTGGTTTTGAGTAATTCAGATAGGACATTGTATTCTCCACCCACCCTGAAAAGTTAACATAGCTTCCAGATCCAAAATCATAAGACCTGAGAAAGAAAATCAGAAACAAACGCACGTAAAGGACTCTTCTGTTATATTGGTACTAACACTGGTTTCTTAAAGCTGTCTTTCTTGCAGAAGCTTTGGTTTTTAGCATTTTGGTCACAGTACCTCCCAGTTGGGGGTGTCACCTAGTGAGAAGAAAGCTTCGGACATCTACTATTTTCTAGAAACCCGTATTTACAAAGCTGAAGAAATAAATTGTGGTCTTTGGTGAAGAATAGTCTCCTTTTTCATCTGCTCTCTTCTCTGAAGAGTCACTTTACACTGTCACTCAGCAGAATACGGAGACTTCATCTAAAATTGAAAACGGAAATGAATGTTAAGGAAGCTGTTTTGCAAATAAATCAGTTTCGAGGGAGTAAACACTGTTTTGTCTACTAAACAATATCTGTAATCTTTCTACCAATTAACTAAGAATTCATTAAAGTAATCAGGGCTGATCAGCCTGAAATAAAAGGCATAATTCAAGTAGATTAAAGACTGTGTTAAGAAGTCCACTCGTGGGGACAGATAAAGTGGCTCAGCAGGTGAAAGCACTTGCCCCGAAACACACAGTAATTAAAAACTAAAAAATCCTTTCATCACAGGAAAAATAATCATATGAAAATGGATGCAACATGTAGCAAAAGTTCAGCAAGCTATAAATAACTTGGTAAGTTAAGGACATCCAACACTGCATGGATTTCCCATCCTTAATACCATTTGACTTCTAGCCAGGTACCAGTTTCCTGGGCATCCAGAACCCTGCAAGGTTTTGATCTGGAGTATGCAACTTATGTAAATTGGGGACATTGAACCCTTTGACAGCATTGGGGAATGGATGCACTCCAAGTAAAACTATAGATGGTGTCACGGTTCTTAAAAAATACTTATGCTCCGGATGGAGAGGTGGTTCAGTAATTAAGAGTACTGGCTGCTCTTCACGAGGACCCGGGCTCAATTCTCAGCACCCACATGGCAGCTCACAACTGTCTGTAACTCTAGTTTCAGGGGATCAGACACCTTCATGCCAATGCACATAAAACAAAGTTAAAACACTTATGCTTCTATTGTTTTTCATGTTCTAGATGGAAAGGCCACAGAGACTAGCTATGCAGCAGTCAAGAGAAGTTGGAACCTGTGGGTCTTGAACTTCTTAAGTTGCTGCCAAAGTAAACTTATAGGCTTTTGTTGTGTGTGTTGGGGAGTGGTATGGCCAATGGAGAGAAGGACAGGGATATTTTGGCTCTCTGGTTTTGTAGTAAACACCTTAAAGCAGTTCTAGCAAGCTACTGTGCTTGCTCTTAGTTTCTATACATTTAGCAATGTGCTTGCCACACAAACAGCACCTTTTGTTACAGGCTCTTGAATTTATGCTTGCAACCATGCTTTCTCCTTTCCCAGGCAGTGCTGCAACCCCTGGGATCCACATGCCACCTTTGTTTCATTGTCAGCACCCTAGACCATTGAAAGGGGGAGGACATACCGCAGTTTCAATTGTGGCAGGGCTCAGGTTTTCTCTCAGCACAGCATATACACTCGGAGACATGGGGAGAAGGTCTGAAGGAGACTGTGGCTCCATGGAATCACTTCGGCTTAAAGAGATAACAGGAGAATATTACAAGGATTATAACATAATAGCTTGTGGTAACTTGCTGTGTCCAGGACTCGTCTAGTGCTTCATCTCTTTGTGACACTGAGCTGCCTAATTCATCACTTCATATCAGAGCATTCAATCTGCTATGGAATATATGGCATATAAAAAGGCAGCTTTATAATTCCAGCCTTAATAGACTGGAGAGTGTGCCCTGAAGACAAGCTCTATGTGTTCAAAGGAATGAGACACAAAATGCCTTATTGAGCATTAAACATGCTTTATCCTCAGTTATATGGACTTTGATCTGCCCTTAAATCTTTGAGGATAGCTTTTTGAGAAAAGTCAATTCAATAATAAATATTTTACATGTGACTAAAGTTACTCACATTGTTGAAATGGGGATAAAAACTGAAGGAACATAACCTTTGTCTCCCCGTTCTGTTGGCCTTGAAACTGAAAAAGAAAGGCACAGTGTTGGGAATAAATGTTAGCATCAGTGATAAAAATTGTAAGAAAAACATCTAGGAAAATATCTGCAATGCTTATAAGAAAATAAATAATGTGGTTGTCTTGTAATTCACGAAAATTTTTAGTTGAATGGAAGAAATAGCCACAGAGGTGAATATGGAAGGCACAGGCAAACAACGAAGCTTTTAGCAAGCTGATGTGACTTCACATATTAATGACTCTAAAATGTCTGGTGACAAGTGAGACTCTATTTCATCATCTGCCCTTTCTGTTGCATTCCAGTTTGTCAGTAGCATTCAATTCATTTGCATATTAGGAAATTCATAGTGCTGTAGTGTCTATCTGAGGTCCTGGCCTTAAAGGTTTGGTTATCAGTCTGTGGGGCCACTGGGGAGTAGTAGGACCTTTAAGGAGTGGGGCCTGGAGGAAGGGAAGTCATTAGGTATGTGCTTTATAAGGAAGATTGAGACACCAGCCTCTTTCTTCTCTGCTTCTAGGTCACATGCTCCCAACATGATGTCTCATTGTAGGCCTAAAGGTAATGGAATCAACCTCCATAGACTGAAATCTTCCAAACTGTAAGCCCAACAAACCCGTACCTTTGACTGACACACATAGGAACATAGCCCTTTTCATTCAAACACCCATCATAACCTTATTACTAGGCAGAGGTTTTGAAGCATGTTCATCAGCTTGCCTAGAAGTAACGTTACACCATGATAACCACCATAGTACCACAGTAACACTAATGGGCAAACCTGGGTCTTCTCGGGTGCACCACACTAATCTAGTGTCAGTACAGTGTCCCAGCTTTAACTTGTTGTATTGACATTTGTGTTTTGTTCTCTTAGACATAGAGTGAAACTGAAAGCTAGTCTTTTGCATTTGTTTCCTTTTGTATTTATTTGTTTCAGATGAAGTTGGGTGGCAACAAGTTACACTGTCTGTGGTAGCTGTAGTATATTCCACCAGACAGTCCTCCATTATTCACTACAGATGAAGAGCCTTAGAGACTTTACAGTGTTATCCCCTGGTACCTGTAGGGGTCTGGGCTCTAGGAACCCTGGCAGGTACTGAAAGCACAGTGCTCAAATCCTTTGTGTACAATAGTGTTGCATTTGTTTTGAATTTAAGCACACCTTTCTGTGTGCTTTAAATCACTTCCAGCTAACAATACTGCTTCAATATAAATGTTATTTTAATAGTTGTTGTGATGTACTGTTTATAGAAGAATGAAAGAAGGTTTCCATGTTCAATGCAGTTGGATTTTGAAAAGCTGGTTTTGATCTTTGGTTGTCTGAATAAGATGTGGAAACTGGACACAGAGGCCAACTGTGCTTTCATGAGAGAGAATAGTGAGTCCCCTTACCTCCGACAGCTGAGTTTGTGAATTTTCTTTTATGTATTCCATATTTACTGTACCTGTTTGGACAGTTACTCTTTTAGACCCTTAGGGTACATGTAAAAAAAATATGCCAAGGCAGGAGAATGAAGCACAGATCCCCATTTCTCTTTGGCAGAGAATCAACACTCTGCATAAGGATTACAGTAAGGCCTGATGGGATGTGTGACTCAGTGTTACAGTATCTGCCTAGCATTCATTAAAGCCTGAGTTCTATCCCCAGTCTCTCTCTCTCTCCTCTTTCTCTCTCTCTCTCTCTCTCTCTCTCTTTCTCTGTACACACACATACACACACACACACACACAGAGAGAGAGAGAGAGAGAGAGAGAGAGAGAGAGAGAGAGATTACAGTAAGGTGAAAAACTTAAATCTTTCCTCTCAAGTTTTATTACAAAATACAGGTCTACAGACCTGCCACATTTTTCTGAAAGCTTGTCATTATCATCTCTTCCTTCCTTTCTCCGAGCTGCAGAAGTGCAAAGATCAGTACTTCTGTTAAAGAGGATGAACTCCTCTCTGAGCTGCAGAAGTGCAAAGATCAGTACTTCTGTTAAAGAGGATGAACTCCAGGCTCAACAAAGGGCTGGTTTGGTGTTGGAGAAGTCTAGTTGCAGCTATGACTATTACTCCACTAACCACTGACATAGTACTTCATTTCCTAAGACTCTACCTCCATCTGACCCTTGGATATTACAAAGATCAAAGTAATGAAAAAGAGGAACTTGGTTTGCTTTGCTCTGATATGACATTATTTTCTAAAATCTCAAGAGAAAAAGTAAATACAAAGGGTATCACCTTCACACGGCTGGGAGCTGTAGTGTTTACCGAAGGCTTTGTCTTTGGGAATGTCAGGGTACAGGTACTTCAGAGGGTTTTCAGGAATGTTCTCAGCCATAATAACCTTGTAGTCTCGAAGGATGTCAGCGAACGGCAGAGCTGACAGTCGCCCTTTGTTGTAGGGTTCTACGGAGTGGAATCTCACTTCTCCTGAAAACACAGAAACAGGAATATTTAGGTGTTTTGTAGTCATTCCTCCTACCCCCATTATCTCCATAGCTAAAAAGTATGACCTTCTGAAGTCTGCTCAGTGCAGATTGTCTGTGTGATAGAGGGTGGCAATGTGGGCTTTCAGAATTCAGAGGTACTCGGTGATGGGCCAAATGGGCCAATTCATATTCAAACCAGCAAGTGAGTGTGACTACATACCGTTTTCAGAGTGGTCCACCCAGGTGAAGGTAATGCCTCCAAGATGGCTCTCACTGAATCTTAACAAAAATGTCCCAGGCATTTTATCTTTGAGCAGAAGCCGTTCCTTCTCTTTGCTAACAAAGCCCATAACATACCTAAAATTAGAGCAAGGGGCAAGACATTTTCTTTTCTGATTGTTATTGCATCTTCACTTTTTCATTCATGAAGAATAGACTAACACAAGCAACTACCAAGCTCTCATATCATTACATAACACACACATACTTTACAATGCATGCATATGTAATATATATATATATATATATATATATATGTAATATTCTACAATATTCTCGGAAGAAACTACAATTGTGTTTTTCCCCTAAACACACTTTAAAGAAAAAAAAAGGGAAAAAACATAAATAAAGCAAAAAAAAAGTACTCATATGAAAAACAGTCTGAAAACTCACCCATCAATCCAGAGGGGAAGAATGTGTTTTTTAATTAGGTCCAATATTGCTTCAAGCCAGGTCCAGAAGGTAAACGGTTTGCCAGGCAAGTGTTCCTATCAGGAGGAAGGCACACACATGAGAAGGGCAATAACTGAAGCCCCACCCTGACAGAACCCGTTCAAACTTTCACAAATGTTCCCTTTGAGCAGGATGGGACCTTCTATTACAGTTGCCCTCATCCAGGAGCTCCTCCACAGCATAGGCAATGGCATGGAAAGCAACATCGGACAAAGAGCTTTCCAAAGGACATCGCACTCCTGTATGTACCTTGCAGAACTTGGCCCAGGTGAGGTGACCATCACTGTAGTTAGACTGAACTAAAATGAAAGAAAAACAAAGAACAAAATTGTGACAGCAATGAGACTGTTCATTCTGTGCTTGACTTAGTTTCTTCCCCTCCTCCTTTGCAAGCGTGTCTTATGGACTTGCAGTGGAGATACAGTGTATGAGTGTTCTATAAGGTCTCATGTGGTATCCTGGTGCCAAGCAGTTCAGAATCTAATAAACAGCTGTATGAGGGAGGAGCCAACAATGGCTTTAGGAAGCTTGGTGAATGGCAATGGTTCGATAAACTGGCAGGGGGCAAATGGAAGCCACCCCAGGGAGGAAGGACAATGGAGACAGGTACTGTGGGAAGAGCAAGGCACTTACTGGGAACAGTAGAAGTCGCCTAAGGGTGGTGATTCACCCATTAAAGTGAAAAGAATGAACTAGAAATCATGTAGGCAATAAACAGCCAACAACTATTTTGATACAGAACACTGAAAAGAATAATACTATCTAAATTCCAAGAAACTACATTTCCGTGGATAATTTGCTAACGATCCTAAGAATACAGTCGCAATCCATACTAATCTATACTATTGCTAGTAACATACTAAAATATTTAAAAGCATTAGCTACTCAGTAACAAAAACTTACCAATATCTACAACTGCTGTTTATGAACTCAAGATGAAAAATTATATTCAGTAAGTGTTTACATTGACAAAAGACCGGATGTGTTTGACTACCTACTGATGAGCCTATAGGTGCTGGTGGCAAGCAAGCCAGCTTCACATGAGCCATTCTGAGGCCACAGGTTCTATGCAGATCAAGCTTTGGTACTAGTTTAACTGCAAATGCATACACAATCAGTGTGAGCTCTCCCTGGTGCTGAGGGCACTCGCTTGTCAAAATTAAGCCATCTTTAAGAAATTGAGGCAAAGCTTCAACTGCAGTTAACACATGAAATGCTGACGACGTCTGCAAAATTCAGACACTGAAGTGTCCCTAATGTGCAGAATTAGGTCATTGCTAGGGGTTTTAAAATTTCTGTTACACTTCCTGTACTTGGCCCAGTATGTTCTAGTTGGTTAACATTGCCATGAATGAGTCACATTCAGAGGAAGTGGCTTAAGAACTCCTGGAAATCCCGTGTGAATGGAAAGGAAGGGCTGTGGAGGAGAACTTGTCTGATCACAATGTGGCTCTGCTGCCTCCTAGCTGTGCAGCAAGGCTGTGACCTCTGAGCCTCAGTGTCCTCAAAGCAATACAATTCTGTTGACCCCCCAGGAACACTGTGAGAATTAAAAGTGAAATGACACTTACCCCTGTGCCTGGCAATATATAGTAGGCATTTAATAAAGTGTGACAATTGTTATAACATCAACAGTAGTAATGTAATTGCTTTAAAACACTTAGGTGCCACCAACAGGCAAATCTTCTGTGTCAGCCAGCTCTTACCTGTGAGCTTCTCTGCCAGCATATTGAGCTGGTCTGAATTAAGGCCACGACCAACATAGGATGAAAACTGCCAGCTCATCACTTCCAGGAGTTGACTCAAAGTGACAGACGGAGGATTATTGAAGAAAACCAAGTTCTGAAATAAAGTCATGGAAATTATACCTGTTAATCGCATGAGGAACACCACATTGAATACATCATAGTCCTGATTTAAATTTGGAGTCAAGTGACCTCAACAACACAGATTGCTTTTAAGATTGATCTTTTCAGTGCTTTTGTTCCTTAATATAATACAAGTTGGGGATCCATCTTTACCTGATAGAATCATTTGACATCTCCAGACATTCTCTTGACTACCAGCTCAACTAGCAAACAACTTATACAAGTAGTTACTGCCCAACAGCAACTGGACAGATAACCTTCCCTGAAACACTATTCATCTTAAACATGTTTAATTGACTCATCATGAAAGGGGGCAGTACATCCAACAAAGATCACAAGACAGGAAGAAGAGGAGGGAAGTGAAAGAATTTCTAGGGACACCGTTCTCTCCTTGAGAATTGTGCCTGGAAAATGACCAGTGAGGGCGGCAGAGTCTAATGAAGGCATAAGAGCTGGCATTTGAAGGAAGGTGAAGTTAATAAGTCAATTTTAGTTGTTTGGTTTGGTTTTGCAAAGAGGCTGTGACTTCAGTGTTCAGATCTTCACGTTGGAGCTGAGTTGCTCTGGGAGGGTGTTCTGGTGGCACTGGTGGCTTCCTAGCAGATGTTGCTAAGGAAACCCAAGTGTGATGCCACACTGAAACTGGAAGAGAGAGGCACCACACTTTCCTCCCATGCCCTAAAGTTGGAAGAGATAAACAGACACGTGGCTCTTAAAGGGAAGTGTTATTTAGTGCCAAAGGCTGTTCTTGGCCTTAAAGAGCAGAGAATTATTCAGTGGATTATTTGGCCTGAGAGGAGTCTTAGCCCCCAGAAGCCTTCCTCTTTGCAGTTGTTCTGTCTCAGTTGCCTGGGCATCTGGGGAATGAGAGTTGAGCCACTGGGAATGAGGGTGAATAGGGCTGAGCCATTGATCTGTCTCAGATACCCAGATATCTGGGGATGAGGGAGAATAGGGCTGAGCCATCCATCTGTCTCAGATGTCTGGGCATCTGGGGATGAGGGTGTATAGGGCTGATCCATTTTCTGTGTGGTTTCCTTTTAGGAATATTGCATTAAAGGGAAAAGACACTGGCCTATTTAGTGATCAAGTCTTATATAGTCACCCAGTGGAAAGAATTCTACTGGCAGTAACTGACTTGAATAAAGAAGGAAGGTTTTATTTGAGTTGTTTCTTCTGGAACTAAGTACTTGGCAATGCAACACACAGTCTGGAGTTTCATTTTCCCTGTCTTAAGAACAGAGCAAAGGAGAGCGTGTATAATCTCTCCTCTTCCCTTCCCTGGTTTTGGTGTAAAAACATCTATAACCACTGGCACAGTGACTAGTCCATTTTGGCCAAGTGCCTCAAATAACCACCAGATGGCACTAACATCCAGCCTAAACCTAGAGAGGCTCAAATCTATACCTAATCATCTGCAAAATTTGTGCTGTCGGAACTCAGGCAAGATTGATGGACATCCTGGCTACTTATTTGGAAACTAATTCTGTGCCTTTCTAGAAGAGCCCAAGAAAAAATGTGCCTAGAAGTGAAAGTAGCCAGATAGCAAGTTCTGACATCCATTAGACAAAAATTATGGAACAAGGTGTTTCCCTGCAGTCTAGTTAGCGTAGCCATAGGACAGCCTTAGCATTCACAGTGATGCAGTCCTGGGGCTGGACAGAACTCAGAAATAATAGCCAGCTCCTGTAATAGTCACTAGCCAGAACTCTCAGAGTCCAAGTCTGTCAGAACACATGACCCTCTCCTGGTCATTATAATTTTGAGGCAGAATCTTGCTATGTAGCCCATGTTTGATTCAGACTTGCTTCCAATCACAATCTTCCCACCTCAGACTTCCAAGTTCCTGGATTCTAGATGTGTGCTACCATGCTCAGCCCGAGTCGACCACATTAAACAAGACCTGACATCAGCTCAAACCGAACATGACCTAACGGGACTCACACATCTAGAAAAACCCTCACCACCACCACATGCACATTGTTTATTAAAAGAAAAGGTTAGGTAGGATGAGAAATGGAGAGATAGGAATATCAATTTTACCTGGCAATCATTGGTTGACACATTGTACCAAATGATGGCGGCCCAAGCATTGGGCAGTTGGCTGACATTAGAAATCATCACCACAGGTAACGAGCTTGTCTAGTTTAAAAGAAAAAAAAAGAGGTTTTTACAGGTAGTCCAAACTTGCATTGATGCTACTCTTATACTCTTGTTCTTTTCTTTTAGAAGGCCATTTCACGTTAAGCCTCTTCTTCCAATCCTGGTACCCAGGTGCCATGTGAAGAACTTTTGAGCACATACAAACCAGAGCACAATAAGAAAAGGAACAGGAACTTTTCCTGGGCATCTGATGCTAGCAGTCAGTTTCCTCAGCATCTTCCTTGACATTGAGAAATGACTAAACTTATTTATGTCATACAATGCCCCAACAACCAAATACAACCAAAGTGCCTTTAGCGATGATTTAGCAATTACCATCCTTTTAAGCTGTGTTAAAGAATTTGATCTGAAATTTACTTTGGGGATGAACCACTATAATCAAGTGATTACCTAGCGCCTAATTGAAGTCCATATACAAGTAGGAGTTTTATTTAAAGCTGGAAAGGTGCACTATGGGAGTTGGAGCTGCTCCATTTGCTTCTGCAGAACAGTTTTGTACTATCGAGATGCAGTTTTCTATTGTAGGAAGTAAGCAGGCATTCACAGACTAGCCTGGGAGGCTAACCACTGTAGAGTAGTCCCTTCCTAATAGACATAAAATTCCTGAGGCTAGTAATATACTCAAGAACTGAGGAACCAAGCAGTTTATGGAAGTAGAGGCTTAGGGAAAAGGTGTGGAGGATTTTACACACATCTGAAAGCTGCAGACAAAAAGGAAAGGCAGACTCTAAAGCAGTACATTCTGAAGCAGAATCACACCCAAGATACCTGAAGTGTAGCATGTTAACCTATACACTGATTTATTTATTCAACATATATGCAGCCGTTAGCATGTGCTTGGAGTTGTGTCCAGATGACGGTATACAAACAAAGCATGGTGCCCTGACTTCAAAGAGCTCATAATTAATGTGTTCATTTTAGTCCCCAGAGGTTTCTTTATCCTCAGAGTTCAATGGCAACTGCTAAGTGATTATAAAACAACAGACCACCAACATTCCTACCACTTTCCTTTGTTCATCACCACAGAGAAACTTTCCAAGAGATTTTAATATATAACTTAAATTTTTGACAATATATCACTCACTAAATGACACAATTCAAGGATGGGTTATTTCTCTTTATGCTTTCTATTGAGTATTCATGATTCATAAAATAACAATGGGGTAACAAATTATTCAACATATATTGAATTCACAATGATCATGAATTTTTTAAATCATTTTTATTTAACCAGAATGGCATCCAACTACTTACTGGACATTTGATGCATTGTTTTCCCAAATAATATGTGAAGAATATACAAAAACCTAGAATGACTAGGCTTTCATTATAAATGATGACTTGATGATGAGAATATTACTAGTGAGTAGATGTTTCTTGAAACACCTACCTCCAAGTCAATGGTGAGGCCATAGAGGCAGATCTGGGTCTCGAAGGCTATGGAGTGCAGTTCCTCTGTCACCATGTGGCAGCCCTATAGGGAAACAAATAAGTTGTTTTCTCACAAATACAGCTTTTCTATTAAAGATCTGGAATGTACTCAAAAAATACCTATTATTGTTTTTAAATAATGTGAAGTTAGAAAATTTGTCTTTTCCACAAACTGGTTTTCAGTTTCCAAAACATGAATTCTTGCTTTTAAAACTCTGGCATATTTTCATTAGTTGAAATGCAAAGTCATTCTTTATTCTAATTTTTTTAAAATTAGTTCTTTGGATTTGCTAAATGACTAATAAAATTAGCCATGTACTTATACGTCTATAGGAAGAACTTATAATCTCATAATGAATTGGTTGGAAAAGAAATCAAGACCCTTCTGGTTAAAGATGGCATATGAGATACATACATTTTCTTCTGTTTGCTCCAGAAACTTTAATAAGATTCCAGAAAAACAAAATTGTCATCCAGATTCCCAGTGAGAGGCAGGAAAGTGTGGAAAAGCTGGAAGAGGTTTGAGGCTCTTAACTGCTCTGAGGCTGAAAAAGAGGCCCATAAATTCCTAGTGAGAGGCAGAAAAATGTGGAAAAGTTGGAAGAGGTTTGAGGCTCTTAACTGCTCTGAGGCTGAAAAAGAGGCCCAAACAGGCCAGGTAAGAGCCCCAGCCCATGCAATGACTTCTATACCACTCCTTGACCTAGTCGAGTGACAAGAAGATTTCTCAGGGCAGATGAGTCAGTGGAATTTGCGTTCTGGGTAGAGGACAACTTGTGGGCAGAGGTGCAGGGAGGAGGGTTCTGTGGAAATGTGTGCTCAAGTCCAGTCCCCATCTGCAGTTGACATCAGGAAATACATCTTGGATGTGGACCAGACCAAAGGCAAACTCTTTTCAGGAACTGCTCCCCAAGAAATATCCAGCTCCTAACAATTCATCCTTGATTTTGCAGCCTAGACATATGCACAGGACTTCTAAATGGATTCTATGGCCTGGATTGTGAAACGGCATGCTAATAATCATTAGACATTTGACAAAGTCTCTCACATGAAATACAAGTGCAGAGCAAACAAACAAAAACAACCAACCAACCAAACCTCTGAGGAAGTATAAAAAGCAAAAGCTTTTGTATAAAGCTAAAAATTGATTCCAGGCTCAGTTTGTTCAACAAATAAATGACAAATGACCCATCGTAATGAGTGGCTATTGCCACCACTCTGTGCCAAGCAACCCTATAAGAGTCCAAAGATGCCAACCACAGTGGATAAATGAAAAGTCATACCAACCCTCATCACTATACATTTCCAGAAAACTGGAGATTAAATGGGAAGTCTAAGGTTTCAGGAGTACAGAATCAGAATTTAAAATAACTAGACAGTTTTTTTTTTAAACTCTGAAGAAAATTATGTCTAGCTCAGTATTCTATACCCACCCAAATTCTAGTCAAGTGTGCCCACAGAGAGTATTTGAGGTATGTAAAGCCTCTGGTAGCTATTTCCAGAAAACCTTCTCTCTGAAAGCTA